TTTTTTGCAAACCACAATAAAACGATCACTTTAAAATTGCACAATCGATGATAATCAAGTGATTGCATATATAAATTGCGATATGCAAAATTTGATCATTTCGTAATTAAAGTAAATTATAAAATTAATTAGTATTTAGTCAATTTGATTATATATAAATAGCACGAATATTCTCCATCTGCCGTTACCAACAAATTACAAATATTTGCAAAAAATACTTCTCTTTAAATTTTTTACAAAACCTTGTTTCATTATTGAAAATAGAGAATTACTATGATTATTCTACAGATGAAGATTTTGATAAAAGTTTCAGTATTGACCAAGACGAACCATTATTCGTTCATGATTATTTGGCTGCTATGAAGGCAAAATATTGGTTAGAAGAACAAGATTCTTCAGAAATAATAGAATATGATGATGATAGTGAAAATTCATTATCTGAAGATAAGCATATGGATCACCAATTTTTAAATATAGAAGAAAATCAACGATCACCTTGTGTTATTATCGATAATTTAAAAGGAGAAATTAGGCACTGTAATTCAATTAATAACCTAAGATCAGTATCTCAATTAGTTGGAACTTGGAAAATAGAATTAACACAGGAAGAAAATTTTAACATAGCTACCTTAGGCGTCTGTTTTAGCTATTTTAATTTTGATCAAAATAAGCTTCACTCGTCTCATGCCAAACAAATTAGAGACCCTAGTCAGAGTGTAATTAAAATAAAAAAATATTTACTCTATAATAAATATAAAAACTTCTTTAGTAGAGGTGATGATTGTGGAGAACATAATTGGAGTATATGCGAAAGAAATATTCAAGTACCATGTGTCAGTTTAAAATCGGGTCACACTTTTAAAGAAATTACAAACATCTCTTCAAGAATTGCTAATGGCTATTGCATCCGATATATCTGTGCAAAGTGTTTTGAAAGCAATGACGGACATATTCATAAGCGTGAAGGAAAAAAGTCTCAAACATGTGTTAAAAACAACTTGCATAAAGATAATACTAACCAAGTTTTAAAATTATTCTCACAGTGGTTGTCAAATCTTTCATATTCTGAAAATGAAAATAAAAAAAAAAGAAGTAGTGTTGCATATAATGAAATTATTAGAAAATCAAAACACAAATGAGTTATCCTCTACAAATACAACAAATTGTTTACCTAGTCCGCTACTTGTAAAAACCACTATAAAGATTAATACATTTGATTATTATTTATCTATAAATAAAAAATATATAAAAGCAGATGAATACAGACAGCACGGAGAAGCATTAGAAAATTTTATATG